AAAGAGGGAGAAGAAAGAAAAGGGAAGAGAGAGAGAGAGAGAGTTGCAGAGGGAGAGATGAGAAAAACCAGCCACCACATACCCAGCTCAACCACCATCACCACCCAATCTAACCACCACAACCATTAATTAGTGGAACCGGAGAGGTGGGTTGATGGGATTCATGAAGGAAGGAGGAGTTAGAGTGAAAAAGAGGGAAGGAAGAAGAGAAGAGAAAGTAGAGAAGAGGAAGAAGGAAAGAAAAGGGAACGGGTCTGGGAAGGAAAGAAGAAGAAAAGAGGAAGAAAGAAAGAAAAGGAGAAAAAGGAGAAAAGAAAAAAGAAAAGAGATAAAATATAGTTTTATCTTTTAAAAAACAATAGAATTTTTCATTTGTTAAATTATACATTTTTAAAAATATTTTTTCAAAACAGAAATAAGCAAAAATACCCTTGAAAAATAATTCACATAATATTATTCTCAATTTGTACTACCATATATATTTTTATTGTTTATAATAATTTTAGCCTCTAAAAATATCAGAATTTTTAAAAAAAAAATAGAACTGAAATTATAAAAAATACACCTGAAAAACAATTGTACTACCAAACACGTTTTCATTGTTTTTGTTTTCTGAAGATGTTTTCTAATTATCTACCAGACGCATTTTCATTTCCTGAAAATGCAAATTTGTTTTCTTGTTTTCATTCTCTGAAAATATTCTCTGAAAACACTCTCTGAAAACGTTACCAGACGGGCCCTAAGGGATTTAAAAGGGAGAATCTGTTCGGTGCTAAACATAGGGGGGTTATGGCATGGGATTGTTAATAAATCATTATTAATTAATGGATAATTTTGCCGTTCAATTCAAATTTTGGGTTTTAGTTAGAAGTATGTGGGTTTTTGTCTAGACTATTTTAGTTGCAAGGGGCTATATCTGAATGACTCTTCTTTAAATAGCTAATTTTTTTTATCTACTAATTATTTGATAGAAATTCTCTAATCAATTACCAGGTTTTGGGAGGCATTTTGCACTCTAAAAAGACTCCTGCTGAATGGTCTGAAGTCAAAGACAATAGAATATGGGACTTACCAAAGACAGAAGATAGAATCATGTCAGTCTTGAAGTTGAGTTTCGATAATTTGGAATCACCAGCACTGAAGCAATGTTTTTCATATTGCTCAGCGTTCATGAAAGATGATGAGATGGAACGAGATGACTTGATTCAACTTTGGATGGCTGAAGGATTCCTCCGTCCTCCTGAGATGGAGGATATAGGTAATGAATATTTTGATATTCTATTCCAAAGCTCCTTATTTCAGAATGCTACAGTGTATGATAATGTCATTGTTACTGAATGCAAGATGCACGATCTCGTGCACAATCTTGCAGAACGTGTATCCGAATCTGGAAGCATGATGCGAGACTTCCACAAGATTGAAGATGTTGCAACTCCAATTATAGAAAGAATTCCAGAAGGTAGTAGTGGGAAATTGAGAACATTGTTTTCGAATGTTGAAGCACTACCTGGAAACATGTTGCCATGGTTTAAAGCTTTACGTGTCTTAAAATTATATGGGGCACATATTAAGGAGCTTCCAATTTCAATCGGAAAGCTTAAACACTTGAGGTATCTTGACATTTCCCGAACAGGAATCAAGAGACTCCCAAATTCTATTGGCAAACTATACAACCTACAGACATTAAGAGCAGCAAACTCCCACCTTGAAGAATTTCCAAAAGACGTGAAAAACTTGATCAACTTGAGACATGTTTATTGGGATAAGGTTACGAAATTTCCAGTTGGGGTCCTAGGGAAATTGACTACCCTTCAAACATTATCTCCCTTTTATGTGGATAAGGAGATGGGACGCGGAATGGAGGAGCTGGCTGCCTTGAATCAATTGAAAGGTGAACTCAATATTTATAATCTGGAAAAGGTAAGCAATGGAGATGAAGCAAGGAAAGCTAAATTAGAGGAGAAGAAAAATGTACGCTTGTTGGCATTGATATGGTCAGAAGATAGGTCAATAATCAACAATAATAATGATGAGGATGTACTAGAAGGCCTCCAACCACATTTGAAGTTGGAAACACTAGGTATTGGGTTTTTCATGGGTGCTAAATTTCCATCATGGATGATTAAGCTTGACAATTTAAAGAAGATTTTCTTCCGTTGGTGCAAGAAATGTGAAAAATTCCCGACACTCAGCCATCTACCGCATCTTACAATTGTTGGGATTGCTGGAATGCATAATCTAAAACGTATTGGAGAAGAGATTTATGGAAATGACGTATTTCCAGCACTGAAAGAATTACGCATTTGTTATTGCGAGGAGCTAATTGAATGGATGGAAGCACTAGGAAAAGTCATGGTGTTTCCTTGCCTGGAGAAGCTGGAGATCGAGGGTTGTCCCAACCTAAGAAAGGTTCCTAGTCATTTTTCATCTCTGAAGAAGTTGAAGATACAAGATAATGAGGAGCTTAATGTCTGCCTAAAGGGATGTTGTTGAAGATAGAACGTATGAAGATAAGAGATTGTGAGAAGTTAACTTGTATTGCACCCGATGTCTTTGGTTGTTGTGCATCTCTTCAAAAGTTGTCTGTACACGAGTGCCCTAGTCTACAATCTATTCCAGATTTGCATAGCTTCCTATCCCTCCATAAATTGAGAATTCAATATTGTGATAGATTAGAAAGTTTGGTGAGTAGTGGGCTTGTCTCTGTTGTGAAGTTGAGAATAGATCATTGCAATGGTCTACAATCTATTCCAGCTTTAAACCTCTTCACATCCCTCCGTGAATTGAGCATTGAATATTGTGAGAGATTAGAAAGTTTGGTGAGCAGTGGGCCTGTCTATGTTGTGGAGTTGCTGCATATAAGAGATTGTAGTGGTCTACAATTTATTCCAGATTTAAACCTCTTCACATCCCTCCATGAATTGAGTATTGAAAAATGTGAGAGATTAGAAAGTTTGGTGAGTAGTGGCCTACAACTGCCCGCCTCTCTTGTGAAGTTGGAAATAAGAAATGCCTCTAATTTAGAGAGTCTTCCAAGTTTAGACAACCTCACATCTCTCTCTGAGTTGGTGATTGTTAATTGTGGAAAATTAAAATATCTGCCCACAAGGATACACTGCTGCGCTAGTTTGAAGATATTGGAACTTGGTGGGTTCTGGAAGGAGCTCGATTCCTTCCCTGATTTCCATCTTCTTGGAACATCACAACTTCAAAGATTAGTTTTGACCGGGTGGCCCAAGCTCAAGTCTCTGCCTCACCAAATTCAACACTTCACGTCTATAACATATTTGTGGATAGACCGTTTCGATGGAGTGGAGGCTCTTGAGGATTGGTTGGGTAACCTTACATCTCTTATGACGCTAAAGATTCGCTTTTGCAAGAAGCTCATGAATCTACCTAGTGTCACAGCTATGCAACGCCTCACCAAATTACAAACCCTACAAATTCAGGAATGTCCCTTTCTGAAGGAAAGATGCACAAAGGATAGCGGCCCAGAATGGCCCAAGATTTCTCACATTCCACAGCAGTGCCCAGGATTTCTCACACTCCACAGCAGTAATTTCTTCTTTCCTGAAATCAAATTTCCTTTTCAATCTTCACCTTTCGGTTTAACTAGAGTTTATTCATTCTGAATCATTTCTCAAAGGAATAAGACTTGTTTATCCTTCTCCTTTTTCTTGTCAGTTCATGGAAATTTGCTAGAAAAGAGAGATTGACTCTACGCGTACAATGAATTCGTAATGGCTCCAACTTTGACAGTGAAGAAATGTAAGGTTTTCAAACTCCCACTTCCACTTGTCTTCTAATGGGCCCGTCTCTTATTTCGAATATAATCTTCTCTTTTATGGGGAAAGACTTGAAAGGAAGGTGTAAGAAGTTTTTTAATTGCTGATTTTATAAAGAATTGCTGAAAGTATCAAGTAAACAAGATTTTAGCAATGTTTTTCATATTGCCCAGCGTTCATGAAAGATGATGAGATGGAACGAGATGACTTGATTCAACTTTGGATGGCTCAAGGATTCCTCCATCCTTCTTCAGAAACAAGTAATCTAGAGATGGAGGATATAGGTAATGAATATTTTGATATTCTATTCCAAAGCTCCTTATTTCAAGATGCTACAGTGGATGATGATGGCATTGTTACTGAATGCAACGTGCACGATCTTGCAGAAAGTGTATCCGAAATTGGAAGCATGATGCGAGACTTCCACAAGATTGAAGATATTGCAACTCCCATTATAGTTCCAGATGGAAGTAGTGGGAAATTGAGAACACTGTTTTCGAATGTTGAAGCACTACTTGGAAACATGTTGCTATGGTTTAAAGCTTTACGTGTCTTAAAATTATATGGGGCACATATTAAGGAGCTTCCAATTTCAATCGGAAAGCTTAAACACTTGAGGTATCTTGACATTTCCCGAACAGGAATCAAGAGACTCCCAAATTCTATTGGCAAGCTATATAACGTACAAACATTAAGAGCAACAACTGCCATCTTGAAGAATTTCCAAAAGACGTGCAAAACTTGATCAACTTGAGACATGTTTATTGGGATAAGGTTACGAAATTTCCAGTTGGGGTCCTAGGGAAATTGACTACCCTCCAAACATTATCTCCCTTTTATGTGGATAAGGAGATGGGATGCGGAATAGAGGAGCTGGCTGCCTTGAATCAATGGAAAGGTTAACTGAATATTAATAATCTGGAGCAGGTAAGCAATGGAGATTGAAGCAAGGAAAGCTAAATTAGAGGAGAAGAAAAACGTAAGCTTGTTGGCATTTGTATGGTAAAAAGATAGGTATATAATCAACAATAATAATGATGAGGATGTACTAGAAGGCCTCCAACCACATTTGAAGTTGGAAAGACTTGAAAGGAAGGCGTAAGATGTTTTTTAATTGCTGATTTTATAAAGAATTGCGGAAAGTATCAAGTAAACAAGATTTTAGTAATTTCTCATGCTTTCAATCTTAATTGTATTAGCATAGGTTTCAATCTTAATTGTATTAGCATAGGTTTTTGGCTACTTAATTTTTGATAATATTGCTGCTATTGTTTCAGTAATATATGTTGTTCAGGAGTTTATTCAGCATTGGTCGTCTCACCACTGGATTCTATTCCAATTATATTAAGGATATATTAAGGATATATGTTGTTCAGGAGTTTATCTAGCATGATTTCTGTACTTGTATATTTGATTAGAATTACAATTATAGGTATTTATCACTCCATGATTGGTATTTATTTATGCATATAAATATTTTCTTAGGCATGCCATTTGTCATTGAGCAGGTACTCTTTCGTTGCAAGGCAATGCTTCTCGGTATTTGTGGATTCTTTATCACCACTGTGTAGAGGTAATGTGTCTAGTCTGAGTAAATATTCTTGTGCATTGTTAATTTCAGTATTTCTGTTATATGAAGTTGATAAGGCTGAGCATTTTCGTTTTTTCTTTTCAGGGCCTGAGGGGTGGGTAGAGAGGATTTTATTTGCATCGTAACAACTTAATTGAAACAAAACAAAGAATGAAATGAAGGAATACCCTCTCTGTTGTACCATGTAGTTGATGCAAACATGCAGCACTTTTAAGATTTTGAACCTACATTTTTTAGCATATTCATCATCTCCAAGGAAAAAAAATGAAGTGGAGTGGAGTTCATTGTTTCTTTGAATGCTGTGGTAACCGTTGACAAATATTTACGTCTTAAGCATCAGTTTTAGTACCAATATTATTCTGATATACTCTGTTCTCTAATGCCGGAATGTGTGTAAAACTTTTGTTAGTTGGCATGTCAACCCATTTCTTGTCTGTAATTGATATAACCTTCAAGTAATTTGAAACATACTGGATTTTATATGGGATCATGGAGATTTTCTCGATTAGTAGTGTGGGATTTAATGTGAATCTTGAAAGTGTTGAACCGTTGTCATTTTTCTTGCTGGATGAGAGCAGAGAGGCCCCCTCCCCTGTTCCTAGAGTATTTACCAAGTCTTTCTTAATGGATTGTCGAGTACCTGCAGTATCACAGGAATCAGGTAAAACAATCTTCTGTTACAATTTATAGATGGTAGTTGCAAGCTTTGTACTATGATATGTTGAAAGTTGGAATTTATTTTGTATATTTTCTGCTAAGTTGTTTTGTTGTTATATTTGACCTATAGGCAGAGTTGGGATTAAGGTAGAAACTCATGCCTGCATCGTGCCATACACCTTTATGTTTCCGTCTCAACAAATCTTGCTTTGAATCCTGTGTGGCCCGAATCTAGTACTTTTCAACTGTTGCAGTATGGAATCAAGAGCAAATGTTATGTTCTGTTTTTTTCTTTTTCTAGAATTGAAAGTGGTATTTTTGTTCTTGCTTTTAGGCGAGCTGATAGAGTGAGAAGGGCATGGATGAGAGAGGAGAAGTTATGATATGGATTTGGATTGAATATGCCTAGGTGCTGGGGATTAACCAAATACCCCAGCATATATAAACGCAAACAAAACCAATTCGTGTTCAGATAGTGCAGACAGGCATAGCCTAATCCTGAAAAAGTGCGACAAAGAATCAGCAAAAACCACCCTATCCCGTCTAGCAAATGGATTTGGTAACTCTAATTCAAAAATAGGGAACAAAAATCAAAAATTCAAATAGGTAGGCTTCGTGTGCCAGTTTAATTTTAAATTTCATAATATAAAGAAAGAAGAACATACTACTTTTTATTTATTTTGTCAATTGAATTTATTTTTAACTCAATAGATTCATACTTGAAATCTTTTCCAACATTAAAAAGAAAATATCTTTCAGACCAAAAAAAAAAAAAATCACTACACTAATTAATATATATCTATTTAATTATCTAAAAAGCTGGTTAAAAAAACAGTGTGGTGTGGACCAATTTTGAACATTCATCCAAGATTGCAATTTGGAACAAGCAAGGACCCTATTTTCGATAGGGTAATACTAGGCTTACCACATTTTCATATCATATTGTGTACCACCTCTTTAATAGAGGTGGAGCCCACCAATACAATGAGGCCCACCTCTATTAGAGAGGTGGTACACAATATAGTATAAAAATGTGATAAGCCTAACAATTTTCTTTTCAATAACAAGTTGGAAGGACTTATTATAATAGTAAGAAATTTTTTTAATAAAAACGAAAGTCTAAATTACAAGAAAATGGGGATTTTTAACACAAACACTACCAAGGTTAAGTTCCATAGGGTTTGAATATGATACCTGATGAGCACATAAATTATCATGTTTATTACCCTTAATTATATATTTGTTAGTGCATTAATTTATGTTATTTTGAGCTTTTAGGCTAAAGTTTGATTTTTATAAGTTTAGACATTATGCTAATAAAAATATTGGAAATTAAATAACTACTTTCTCTTAGTAGGTTCTTGGTCAGATTGGCAACAAGCAAGAACAAGGAAAGAAGAATGGTGGAGACTAGATGCCGTTGAACATATGGAAGTTGGGATTAAACAAATAAATGAATGAAGAAGTGGTGATGGCATTGATACAAATAAAACAAAAACATGAAGTATGGCCAGCCACTAGCAAGCAATTACAAGCACATGCTCGTTGAAGTGTGGCAGCCAAACTAATAAGGATGAAGATTTGGAGGGTGCTGCCAGCACTAGAGTGAAATAAACAAAAGAAATTGGATGGGCTTGGCGGCAAGGTGGATGAACAAAATAAATGAAGAAATATTTGATTGGCTTTGTGGCAAGGTGGAGGAATTATGAAGTTGGAATTGTCCAGGAGGTGCTGCTCTCATTTTCCTATAAATATAGAAGTC